TACACACCCCTACAATAATTACAAGATTTTAATCATATGATAATGATGATTACTGATCTTTAAACTTCAATTTTTTATTTCTATAAAAAGAAATACAAAATTTTAATCTAATACTTTATAAAATAAAGTCTTTAGTTTTTAATAAAAATAAAAAAAACTAGTATTTGAAATGCTAGCCTTTAGCTTTAAGAATAGCTTTGACTTAAGTAGGCATATTTAAAACTAGATTATATAAGACTTCTAGAGGAATTTTTACCTATTCTTCTTACATAGCCTTAATTAATTCATCTTTTAAGCTAGGCAAGGGTTTTCTTTTTCGAACTTGATAATTAAAATAATTCTATAGATGTTTGATTAGGTTCAAATCTGGGCTATATGGAACCCAATTTAGAATTGAAATACTATATGTTTTTATTTACTATTCTGTATATTGTGCTGTGTAATATGAAACTAAATCTTGTTGAAATATTAAATTTAAATCATTATACATCCACAGCATTAAATGATTTACAAAAATATTAATATATATATTAGAATTCATATTTTCATCAACTACTATTAATAGTCTAACACTATCCCAACTAAAGCATTCCCAAAATATTATAGATTTACCATCATATTTAAAAGTAGGTTTAATACAGTTTATATTATAAGCTTCACCTACTTTTTGCTATACTTTTATATATTTATCAGACCTAAACAAAGCAAATCTTGATTCATCTGATCAAACAATACATTTTCATTCCTCATTCCAACTATGTTTTATTCAGCACTATTTTAATCAGTTAACATGATTTTTTTATTTTAAAAAAGGCTTAAAATGAGCAATATAATCCCTTAAGCCAAGACTATAAAGATAGTTATGATTAGTATTAGAATAGTAAGTTGTATTAAAATTGAAATTGAATTCATTTGTAATTTTATTAAGAGGTAAAAATCTATTCTTCAAAATGATCTTTTATAAAGAATGTTGATCACAAGATGAAAGAACTTTTAAATGACCAGGTCATTTTTTAGAATATGAAGAACTAGTTTTTTTATAATAATCAATAGTATCATATACTGTTATATAGACAATTCTCAACACAGCTGATATTTTAGAAGCATTTGCATCTGCAAAATAGATACTGATTATCTGGTTTCTTTGCTTGTTTGTCAATTCGTTTCTATGCATGTTTGGTACAAAAAGAATCTAGAAAAAACTGGTTTTAATGAATATGATTAACAATTGTATTTCTATTTATAAAGGAAAATGAAGACTTTAAAAATACTTATTTTTAAAATTGATCTTTACTGCATCAACAAAATCTGGTAATTTATTATAGAGGTGTATATATAGATATAACTATAACCTAATTTGATATTTTTATATATATAAGAAAGTTTGGTTTATTTTTATATTCTAGCTTTTTATACAGTAATAATATTAGTTAACTAGATTAAAGATACTTCTACTTCTAGTATAATTCTTTATCACAAATTGTATGCATATTAGCTATTTTATTTACTATGGTCAGACTTCTTTAAATGCATAGCATTAAAACTATAAAAAAAATTAAGAAAATATGCATTTAAAGAAATTATGCATTTAGGAAAATAACAATCTATAAGTATTATATTAATTGGACCCAAGAAAAGATATATTATTTAAAGAGATTTTTTATATATAGCATTTAAAAAGATTGCATTTAAGGAGGTTTGACTATACTTCTAACTTTGATTAGTAGAAACAACTCTTCCAAACAAATATTTATATCATCAATTTAGATAAAAACTTATTTGTATAATTTGTTAACTACTCTTCTAAGCAAATACTTTACAAATTGAGTATAAGAATATTGGCATTGTTTAAATTAAAAATATAAGAATATTAGTACTATACTATCTTTAAAACTTATATGCACTGTTACTATAACTAGAGTTTTCTGTAATACTACAGTTACATATAGTACCAACCTTTTTAAATCTTGGATTTTCTTCTAAAAAGGTCTATTTTTAGTTGTATACTGTACTTGGATTTGGCTACAGGGTTTCATATTCAATTTGGCTTCTATAGATTATAGAAACAAATATTAATTTTGCCTCTAGCCCGACTTAAACTGTTAACCTTGTTTGTGAAGGTTTGAGAGTTTAATTACTAAGCTATAAGGTCCAAATAATAATAATTAAAATTATACTGTATATAATTAATTATAGTATATATTTATTAAACCTGTAACTATAATGCATTAGTATTTTATGCAAAAAAAAATCAAAATATTAAAAATAATAAAAACACAATATGGTAAAAAAACTTAAGCAAGTAATAAAAAAAAATTGCTAATCTTGTATAAAAAACCCAAAATTAAAAAACAAGCAAAACTTTAACAAATTATATTTTATTTAATTTATATAAATACAAAAGTAAATAAAAAAAAATTAAATAATTTTGTTTTTATTATTATTTTATGTACAGTATATACGTATAAATTTACTATAGCGATAGTATATTAAAAATTATACAGTGCAGACAACCTAGTCCCGACAAACAAATTTGACTGATTTCAAAATGCTAATCCTTGTTCATAAACAACAATAAACAAAAAATCTTTTCATAGAACATTAAAACCATGCAAGCTAAACATTTTGATGGTCTTAAATTTTTTTTTAATAAAATATATAGTAGAAAATTAAAATCGAGGCAATTTTATAATTAAACAAGCAATTTGGCCTCTTAAAATATACTATTAAACAAGCAAATTTGGCCACTTTAAACATTAAATTTGGCCGTTCTATATATTAAATTTGGCCGCTCTATATATTAAATTAATAATTTGGCCATTTTATGTTAAAATTTTAAATTTGGCCGTATCATATAATCATATATATATATATTAAATTTTAAATTGGCCGCTAAAAATTTTCATTTGGTTGTCTGCACTGTATAATAAATCGTGTAACTGGTAAATAAAATTTATAATAAACAAGTATAAATAGGTTTTAAAACTTAAATAAAAACCCAATTTTATTTTAATCTAATTTCTTTTTAATAAGTAACATTAAGTACGTATTCATATTTAAATCTATTGTATATGTCAATTATACTGTATTTGAAAAAAGTTATCTAATTCATAGCCAATAAAATAGAATTTAATCTTAACGGGTTTTTAAAAACGCATGATTTTCGCGTTACACCTGATCTTGTAAACTGGTTAGTCGATCAATGAAAATCTGTCGGTCCTACTGGGGTAGTTGTTAACTACTAGCGCCCTATTTTCGGAAGATACTGCTATGCAGGCTAAACAGTATTTTCTATATTAGAGATATTAAAGATGCACAGAGTTGCACGACATTGCACATTATACGTACATGTGAAGTAAAAGATTCTGAAACAATTATCCATTAATGTTAACGTTAACGGCTAACAATATTTTTAATTAGGAGATGCTGCCGCAGATCAGATCACTACAACGAGACCGAGAGTCTATTTTCCTTAAATGAATACTCAATATGTACGGTGACATTTTGATTAATAAGTAAAATTTAACTTTTGCAGCATACTATATAATGTGTATACTTACAAAACGAAATATTAAAAATAGAAAGAAAAAATGATTTAAGATATCTCTATTTGGATTCGTAGCATTTAGTGATTTTTGTTTATTCACAACTATAATAATATAATTCAATGCCACATTATAAATGTTCATTTCGAATGAAAAACAACTAGAATAAACTAAAACTTAACCACTTTACGTCTAATCAATGATATTTCCAATAAAAGAGAGATAAAATTCAAGGAAAAACAATAACGAAAGTAATTACATTCGGGAAGGAAGGAAGGGAAATATTTACTATCGTCACAAAATGAAAAAAAATAAATCAAAATGGAATGTACAAAAAAAAAAAAAAAAAGAGACGAATCCAAAAATTTTTCAAAATATGATACAAGTGGTATAGAACAAATTTAACGAAAAATGTAATTCATTCGTTAAATGTCTTCTGGAAAAAAGATGATTTAAAATTTTTAGGAATTTTATAATAAATGTTTGCCATAATAAATAGCAAATATAAATTACGATGATGCCGGTGTGCTGGTTTCACTAATAAATACAAAACGATAAAATTCAAATAATTGAAATTTAGTCTTGATATCTATAAGACATTATCACAGCACCCTCACAAGCTTACCTGCTGCCGCAACCCTTTAATGCGGCAAGTTGCTGTCTCAATGACTCTACTTCCTTGGCCATTTCATCTTGATTATGTTTCAAAGTGTTGATAAAATCCACAGCTTATAAAAGGAAGGAATGTTTGATATAAATTGGAAAAGAAAAATAAATAAATAAATAAATAAAAGTCTAAGATTAATCATACCTTTACTTAAAATTTCCCATTTACTCGTTTTTAAACTCTTATCTACAGGTAATGAATCCCTAAGCTCATCAAAAAGTTCTTTCATTTCTTTTCTTCTTTTTCGTTCCGCTAATTTATGAGATATCCTTAGTTCAGGAGAACGAGAGTAAGGTGTCTCCTTAACTGGTGGTTGTTGTTGAATGTAACTAGGATAATCATAAGCGTATGGATGATATGAATGATGATGGGTAGGATAAACTTGAGAACGATAACGATCAACGTCCATGGGCACACCATCCTGTTGAACAGGATCTGTAAATCGAGACGGAAATGTCATAACAGGCATGGAAGCACGACGAGCCAATATTGGGGCACTAACTTCCTCTTGAACAATTTGAGATAAACGAGGATTACTAAAATGAGGTGTATAAGCCATTGAAAGATCATTTTGTTCACCAATATGAGATGTTGACATATTATTAGCTCCTGGATGGTCTGATACATTATCATTATTATATGCACATGATTCAGTATGAGCCTGTAAACCATTTTCCACATCCTGCACATTAAGTTTGGGAAGAGAATTACTGGAAATAAGAGATGATGATGGCGGTGGAGGACTAGAGGGAGCAGAATAAGAATTTCTGCGATCATACAATGACAAACGCTGTATGTTTGGATCACCAACAGATTCTCTTCGTTTTACAGGATAATCCTCTGGCATAATTGGATGACTTGGTGCCGGCGTGCCAATAGTGTTTTTTCTTTTGAGGGGTGAAACAACTTCTCCGACTGCAATAGAATGACGTCGCGGTTGTAATTGAGCTTGAAAAGCTGGATTCATTAATGGACCTGGAAAACCATCCCTAACTGGACTTGCGCTAGCGCTAATTGATGGCAACGCATCTCTAAGTTTGCGCGTTTCCAGAGGTGAAAAAGACTGAATCGACTGTTCGCCTTTTACAGAAGATGGACGTGATAGAGATGGAAATGGTGATGATGGAAACTGATCTGATACAAATGAACTGCGACGTTCAGAAGATCCCGACCCAGAATTTGTTGAAGGAAAATTAACGTCAGGCTGAGAATATTGTCTTGCCAATTCTGGGTTCGGGACAGACATATGAAGTGAAGGATCCGTGATGGAACCTCGTCTTTGTGCTGTTAAATAAGATGGTATAGCGGAATGTTGAGGATGTTGAGGCTCAAGGGGTGCAAGAGAACGAGATGGGTAAGGTTCAGAGGTTGGAGATGGGATGGGTGGAGAGGGAGTCAAAGAGACAGACATGTTCTGATCTGTTTGTGACTTAAATGACATAGATTTGGAATCGTAGGACGGAGTCGGATTCGGAAACGAATATTTAGATTCCGACATAGGAGATTCCATGTACAAATGGTGCAATCGACTCAGAGCTGAAGAACTCGGAAGATTTTGTTAGTCAATTTTAAGTATCAAAAGAGTTAGTTTTCGTATTGTTAAATATTAAATTTAAATTTTGTAAAGATAACTTACCTTAACCAGAAACTCGGTACAGTGCTTTGCCAAAAAGCAGGAATTCGCAAACTTCTTTTCAACTTCTAACGAAGTTTGCGTTGTATCGGAAATAAGAATGATTGTTGTAGGATGTGACTTTATAAGTTTTCAGTAACGTTACTCTTGCGACCATATTGAAACTAGAAGTTCTGTGTAGATCATTGGTAATTCAGGCCTAGAGGTTACATAGATTCAGCCGTATTTGCACTAGAATGAGGCCCCCTAAAAGGTGTATTGTTCGTTTATCACAACATAATACAAATAGTGTTCTATATTATTTATTGTTATGTCGTTTTTTAAATTTAGATCGAGTTTATACGTATCCTATTAGGATTATTGACTAACCTTTTAAAATTATCATATATACGTGTTTGGAAAAGCAGAGTAAAAGTTTAAATCCGTAAAGGTTGACAATTCGATTCGGATTGGTATACCGTTTACTCACGAAGAAATTCGATTACGTAGTAGATCAACAAACATCCATCTTCAACCTAAAAAATTTCAAGATCAAGTGTAACATAAAATCAAACTCTAACCCTAACACAGCGAAATTTTTTGAAGTTTTTCAAGCTGGTGACTCTAGGGTTCTAGATGGTTATCAACAGTTCTAAAATCAAGCGCATCTGCACGCTCTGCACACTTTCCCTAAACGCACATTTCAGCTTGGTCACTGGACCGTTCTAGTTATGATTTATTCACTGGATGGAAGTTCTAGTAACTCCAAGAACTTTTACCGTGATTGCCAATAAAATTATAGTGTAGGTTCTGATTCCAGTTCATAATGAAACCATTTTTCTGATTGGCTGATTCGAATCAATTGCCCGGGTAGTTTACTTGTATGTAGATTCAACGGTTGGCACATAGCGAGAATAACCGGAAAATACTCTTCTAACATAATCAAGTTCACTACATAACGACAAGCGCCGTTAAAATCAGATTTGTAATTCACAACTTTTAAACTAAAAATGAAGAAACAACAAAACGACGCATAAACATAAAAGTATATTTAAAATAAGGGCGAATCTATTTGTCGCCGGCGGTGACAGACCCAGGCCAATCAGATTGCACGATTCAAAAACCTCAAAAATTTCAAATCAAAATAACTCAAAATTATGCTTATGAAACCAACTTCCGTGTCTTAACAAAAAATATTTCTTGCATAATTTTACCATATATTATGACCCTTTCTAACTTTAAATATAACTCTAAATAAAATCCGATACTGTCACCGCCGGCGACAAGTAGATTATTTCTTAAAATAAATAAGTCAAATAATAGAATGTAGATAATTTCAATATGGTTACATAATTGATAAATAATTTTTTATGTTTTATAATACTTCTTTTAAAAGTTCAGGTAGCTAAAACAAGAGTAAATTTTATAGATGAATAAATGTTTTCGCTTCGCCTTATAACGTAATTTTGAATCCCCGTGAATTCATAGTTTTTTTTTTTGCAACCTGAGCCAAAATATATAATCCTTGTACTATTTGTAGCAACTACAGTTCCCTATTAATGCTTACTAACACTGTTAAAAAACTATATAGCATATTAATGCATCGTCATTAATAAAAAAACTATATAGTATATTAATACATCACCATTAATTCACAGTTTCTATTAATGATTATTAATACTGTTTAAAAACTATATAGTATATTAATGCATCTCTATTAATTCACAATCTGCTAAGTGACTAAGATAAAAAGATTGTCTTATAGTGATATTTTAAATTCTGTTATCACTTATATAGATATTTTATATTTACTTACAACAAATATATAGGTTTATTAACAAATAATTTAATTGGTTAATAAAAATTTAAAAAAGTTATCTATTACTAAAAATAAGTATATAAATAAATAAAAATAACAATTTTATATTAGGCCAGGCCAAGTTAATTTTTTGGTTCTCATAACCCGGCCAGGTCAAATTTTTTTTTTTTTTTTTTTTTTTTTTTTTTTTTTTAACTTTGGCAGTCTTGCCAGTGATCCTTTATTAAGATTGTCTTGTTACAGGCGTGACAAGATACTTTAAGCTTAATA